CAGCTGCTATGGCACGCTCTTTGGGGGACTAGCTGTCACGATAGTTAGCCGGACGTGAGGGGGCTATTTGAGTTGGAGCCGAGCGAACTCCCCCTGTGAGCATTAAACAGAGCTGTCCAGACGTATGGCAACTGCGTCAGGTGTGGCCAGCATGCGCACATGAAGCAACTTTGGCTGCTTCACCGGCATCCCACACAGAACTCAGGAAGCTCTCTTGACGTCCTTTTGATGACCGAACCGACCCGAGCAGCGTTCAGGCATCTTCTTGGGAAGATGCCTAGTTTTTAGTTCTGTGCGACCTTTCTCACAGTAGAGAGTTAAAGCGTAGCTGTGCATGGATAAGGTCTGGGCCTGCTGCCCTTCCTTTCCATCTTGCAGATGTGGTCAACTTGTATAGCCCATGTGTGGTCTAGCCGGGAGGGGGGGAGGGGGTGTGCACGCGTAAATTCCACTTTAAATGAAAGCTCAACTGTTCACTTGCCGTGTATCCATGGCATGAAAGGAAGAGTTCTTTCTTTTCCGTGTCATCGATTTCTAATCTGGTTTTGAATGAAATCTTCTGGATAACAATGTACAATGGTAGAGGGGCGCTCACCGATCCTTTCTGCAGAACTCACTCGTCCCTTTGTGCCTTACGGACTCTCTCGAGCCTAACCAGCAGTCTCACTGCGGCGCATTATATAGGTGGAATATCATTACCGATAAGGACAAGGGGGACTGGAGCGGCCTCCTCTGGCTTATTAGCCGTCGTCAGCCAGTCATACCCAACCTCGAAGTGTGGGGCACCTGGGCCTCGATCCCGCAACCTGTTGGTTAGAAGTCCAACGCCTCTCACCACTGAACCACGGGTTCGTTGTCCTGTCGGTTGCGATCGGGAATGTACAATGGTAGAGGGTCGCCCACCGATCGTCAGCACGACGGCTGGTTCTGCCAGCCTCATCATTTGAGGGATTACGCATTTGTACGAGGGTTTAACGACGTGCCTATGGGGAAGGGCAACATTTACTGTATATTTAACATGACAGCCACACTCCGATCTGGCAGAGGTGCATCCTAAACGCTGTGAGACAGGAATCTCTAGAACGTCTAACTACTTTTGGTGATCATTATTATTATTATTGTCAT